GTGAGACGCCGAAATAAAAGTTTGTTCGTGAGCTGGGTGTTTTCTGTCTCCAAAAGATTTGTCCAGCCCTCACGACACCTCACGAGTCGATTCGGAGGAACCGCGACTCATCGATTAGGATTTTCTCCTCAGGGTAGGCTCGGAGAGATTGGGTGTCTCAGAAGTACAAAGTTTTGAATGATCGTTTGATCCGACTTACAGGAGAATTGGAGACGGGTGCGAAAACGTTGATCGAATACATTCACAGCGTCGGTTATAACTTAAACAACAACTGACGCGATCCCGACCTCCGGAAATGACGGTCCCCAGTAATTGTGAAGGACGGAGGACCATATCTCGATCCTAAAAATTATAATAAGCAGACGAATTACTTCGCTTTCTGCCCTCCCATATTTAACCGCTTTTTTTCTTTCGCTTACGACATTCCCGGATTCAAGCCGAAAGATGTTGGCCTCTGACCCAAACTCAGACATCTAAGTTTCCGGTAACGCCGACCAGGCTCATTGTCATTCTGGCTTTCTCAATTCCGAGCCCATGAAATTCAGGCTCCCGCCATTCTGGCTTTCGCAATTCTGGCTTTCGCAATTCTGGCTTTCACAATTCTGGCTTTCGCGATTTCTGGCTTTCGAGAATTCTGGCTTTCACAATTCTGGCTTTCACAATTCTGGCTTTCACAATTCTGGCTTTCGCGATTTCTGGCTTTCGAAATTCTGGCTTTCACAATTCTGGCTTTCGTAATTCTGGCTTCTGAGAGTGAACCGAATCATACCACCGATACTATCGTTGTTGAATGCCGTTTCAATCGACTCATTAAAATAAATCTCTAATTTAAGTGAGAATCGATCGTGTGATCCTTGTAAGAAGAAAATATATGTGATATTAGAGTGGGCGATAACGTATACGAAGAGAAAGGGAACAAACTCAATAGAAAAAAATTAGATGAAGTCAGGAATGGACCATTCCGTGTTCTAAAAAGGCTGTCAAATGTGATGTACAAAATCGAAAGCGGAAAACGAAAAAGAGAAGCAAATATACATCACTGTACCAAATTAATCCCTGCATGCAGATAGAGGAGTGGTGGTCGCTTCTGTCTTCACAGGGGGGGGGGGGAGATGTAACTCCCTTCCTTGGAGTTAGAGGGCGCCTTAATAGCGCCCAGCAGACGACGACCTCCGGTGGTAAACAGAGTGGAAGTAACAGAGGTCTGCTAGGGAAATCGCTGACCGATAGAAGCAAGACGGGAGAACGAACGTAAAAATCGATTCTCATTTAAGGTATGCATTTCCCATCTTTCCTTGTTCGAATCGATTGTCTACACCCCAGAGATTGAGTCCCGGCGGGTCAATCCCTAGAAGGGACCTGATAAATGAAGATTTTTCTCATTTAAGGAGCATCGATCGCGGGTCCTCTACGAAGAAGATAAAACGACTCAGATACTTCCTTCACTCCTTTCTCTGCTCTCGATTTCAAGGGAACCTTCATCAACTCCAAAGCCTTGAGTTTGATGAATTTCGCGTCTTCGGGTAAGTGACAGTGCTCTCCGCGAACTCGGATGATCGTGAGCTCAGGATCCTTCAAGGGAGCAAAAACCTTGAGATCGACAGCGAGCGCTTGGTGGTAGTCAGTGAGTCCAATGGAAACCTGAATATACTCAGCCAAATGTACTCACTTTCGTGAGTGTAGCTCTCGCTGCACAACTCTGCCAGCGGTTCTGAACGCAGCGACCAAACATCGTGAACTGTTTCTGTTTCTCGATCTCGTACAAGAAACCATCGATCCGAAAAAGCGACTTTCCTTTGGAGGACTGAACCTCTTCAACCTTCATTGTGGACATGGCAAGCTCTCGAATTCTCAAGCATCGATCATGGAGACTCAGACTAAGGTTCCCGATAATCAGCGCCGAATTCTGACCACATACGATGCGCAGATACCAGAAGGCGAGCTCGGTATTCTATTTTTTTGCCCATAGGGAATCAACGGCTCAATTTCGATCCGTCGATTCCAAAGACCCACACACCCGCTTTTGAGGCAAAATCCCGGAGAGACTTCACTGGCTTCACTAGATATTCGTCTCTGTCATGTCTCGGTCTAAAACACTGAGGTATCATGGGATTATACGTGATCTCAACCGTATCCGAACTCTGGATGGGATCAGTCTCATTGATGAGCTCGGCGGTAGAAAGCATCGAAGAGACTTAAAATCGATACTCCCCAGTCAGTGGTGGACCACTGAGCATGGTACTTTGATGAGGAAGGAGGAAGGGAAACGAATTTCGAGAGAAGAGCTCCGAAGGCTAAGTCGAGCGCATGGAAGGTTCACTTCCTCTTGGCTCAGAAAGCTTCGGAATCTGGAGAGGGCTAAACCCACGCATTTGGGAGTCGGGCATCTGGGAATCGGGCATCTGGGAGTCGGGCATCTGGGAATCGGGCATCTGGGAGTCGGGCATCTGGGAATCGGGCGTCTGGGAGTCGGGCATCTGGGATTCGGGAATCTGATACCTAACTGCTTCGGATTGCCTCATGTCGTTGTTACCGACAATGACTCAACATTCGCATCCGAAGAATTCATCAAGTTCTGCATATCTAACGGAATACTGCACAAGACGACGCCGCCGTACCATCCCGCACCAAACGGACAAGTCGAGAGGTTCGTACAAACCACGAAACAAGCTCTAAAGAAGATGAAAACCGATGGGGAGAGAGACCTCCACACGGCCCTCCAACAGTTCCTTTTCGTACACCGCATGGTGCCAAACTGTTGTTCCTAAATGGTTGCGAAGGTTAGCTTCAGGACGCAGTTCTCAGGTCGATCAAGGAGAACGCAGTCAGAGTAGTACAGAATCGATGTGTAAGAACACCACAGTGAGTTTATTCTGGTTAGCGTGGTCTGATATATATATGTAGAGGGTGATGTCAGCTGAACCCTCTCCCAGTCTCATGCAATTCGTGGGGTTGCAAGCGTCCGGATGTGGGGTCGTAACCCAGACGACATCTGGTACGCTACCGTTAGAATCATTACGGAGACAGAAGAGGCCGGAACCGAGGTCGGCCTCGAGACAGATGTTAGCTATTCTAACCTCAATATCCCCTCTAATAGTTATCCCGAAAGCCTTTAAGCGAAAGATCGGGTTACAATAAAAGTTAGAATTATTGGATTAATCATATGAGTATCATATGTATGGATCCCCCCTGCTTTGGAAGGGTATTCGAACGGCGCAGTCTGACAGGCCTGTTCGAAACGAGAGTAGGAGCGTCTTCCAAGAGGGTGATGCAACTCTGGGAGAGTGTGCAGTGATCCAGGAAAAAGAAATGAGATTTATCCCGAGGGGTGACAGATTACAGTATGGCCGGGACAGGTGTTTACCGAAAGCTAACCGAAAACTCTGACGAGTATTGATGGTATTTCT